AACAGAAAGTATTCTTGTCATTTAATTGGTTTAGTGTTTGTAATGTTGCTGATAGGTACACCGTCTTGAGTATGAAAATACTTTTATCAGGTTTTCTTCTCTATTGCATAACTCTCAAAATACATGCAAGAATAGATCGTATGTATATACTGTGTAAGTACATTATGTACTGTACATACATGTGCTCACTTACTTTACAGAAAAACATTATCACAACTATTTAATTAAAGTTGTAACACTCACAGTCTCAAAGTAATGAAGTTAAAGTATAACTTGCAGCATTTTATACGAGCAATTATACGGTGGATGAGCGAGCACTGTCACAAAACAAACGAGGGTGTCAGGAATGGGAAATGCCGACACCTTTGCAAGTGAAAGTGGCCACAGGCACGCGAGGGTCGACCTCCGAGCTACCCTCGCAGGAGGGCGATCGTCAGTGCCTTCGTGAACAGCCAAGTAAGCCCTCACCGTCTAATACATTGTCTAACGGTTTGGTTAATCTTTAATTGTTATAAATTAAATACAGTACCTAACCCTAACCACAACGTCTTGCACGATAAATAACTCCCGAGATTATTTGTTCCCCTAAACTTCATCCTACATTCGATGTTACAAGAAAGATTCAAAGTAAACAATAGTAATTTAGCGAATGTTCAGGTAAGTGAGATGTGATCGTAGCAGACAGGGGCGCACCTTCACTGAATTTCTCAGTTCATTCCGCGTACGTACCTAACTATTTGACATTATAATTGTAAACCACCAACGAAAAGTTTTGTACTGAAAGTTCGGAACGTTCTTAAGCGGTACGAACGGTAGTCTATACATTTGTGGTTTAGGGTTAATTTAATTGCTAGAATTCATAGAAGTAATGTTATGTTTGTTTTTGCAAAAGACTTAAGTAAGTACATGTCAGTGAGTAGGGCAACATTACAGTGTAGTACTATATAACGCGGTTATGTACATACATATGTATGAGAGGTCGGTGTTATCGCGCGCGTAGTGGCGAGTAGCGGCGCGCACTGCCAGTCTCCCGAGGCAGCCCGGCCGGCGCCGCCGACAAACTTCCTCACTTAACTTCGCCATAAAGCTAAGTTCGCCACTTATTTGGGAAAACTCCGCAATTACTACACAGCTAAGATCCGGCTACTTGTGACTTAACACTGTTATTTATAGACAAATAAACTTCAATTAACATCTTTAACATAACTGTTGAAATCGTATCTTGATTACGGATTAGTCTGGTTATGAAGGCGTGTGAACTAATTTGTTAATAAGCTTAACTGCTGGCTGTCCGCATAGCTTGGAGCTATTGTTAGCATAAATTCATGCGTCTACTGTTGTGGTTACAACGGCACGGCGGCGCCGGATTTCCATATGTTTGTCAATCCACGTGGTTAAACGGATTACACCTTCAATAAATTAATTTATTATGCATGAAATTTACACTTGAGTCTTATGAAATGATGGAGCCATGGACACCATTTCTGTAGGCAAGGATTACACTAAAGTTGGCAGGCGTTATTTATCCTGGTAATCTGTTTTCATTGAGAGGACACGTCTGCAATGTTGCCAGGCTCAAAAGGGGATTTATCTGTTTTTGATCTATTCGTAGATTAACGCAGCGGCCATCGCCCACACTGTCTTAATGATAATTCGTACAGTGATTAAGAAGTTACGAGCGGCAGCGCGCTGAGGAGGCGTGGCGGGACGTTTCATGACAGCGCGGCACGCACCAACTTTTCATGAATCATGATCATGACAGTGTCGCATTCACTTCACTTTACCATTAATACCTATTTAGGCGCCAGTCGATATGACGACACGAAATCGAATCGCTTCGTCGCGTTTTTGTTGCCTACGCATAGGGGACTTTTATTTTTATACCCGATAAAAATAGAGCATAACGTATCTAAGTAATAGGTTCGAAGTTTCTCATACATTAACCGCGCCGAAAGTATCAAAACAGAGTTAGCACAAAACACAGAAAACTTTGGCTAAAGTTGTAATAATTTACAGGGCTATTGATTCCATGTACCTGAAGAATAACTTTTCGGAATTAAAACATTCTCCGAACCTTGTTGCTTTATGTACAGGTAGGTGAGTAGCTATATATCACTATATAGTATAAAACAAAGTCGCCATCCGCAGTCTGTCTGTCCCTATGTATGCTTAGATCTTTAAAACGACGCAACGAGTTTTGATGCGGTTTTTTTAATAGATAGAGTGATTTTTAAGGAACGTTTATATGTATAATACATGCATATTGCATCCGTGCGAAGCCGGGGCGGGTCATTAGTCTCATAAAAAAGAGATTATAATTTGTTATGTCTGTTTAGCAGCGAACATCTTCACAAATACTGAATTGTTTGTCATACAATTAAAAGACAATATTTAGAAATTAATAATTGAGACCGAACGAATCAGGTATTTAAATATAAGTTGGAGTTTTAGAATTTGACCTCATTTACTAAAATGTCATAGAGAATTAGAGCTCACAAACCGAATTCATTACCGAGTGTAGTTATCAGATCGTTTGGAGTTATTGATTACTGAACATTTACATTCCTATTATTAATATGATTGTTTGTTTACACTGAATGGGTTTCAAAATTATGGAGCTTTTTATGGAATAATAAAGAATAGGTACAATTTTTAGTTAAGTGCCTCGTTGGAGAGTGGTCGCAAGTGTTCCTGCCGGTCAAGGGGTCTCAAGTTTTTAAAAATCCTCAATAATAGCACGAAGTCTGGATTTGCGCTCGGTATATGGCAATGGGTTCTCCCCCATGTGTTGTTTGTCTAAAAGTGGATGTTACATTGTACAGCGGCGTTAAGTGCCGTAATGTGCACCTCTGCCAACCCATTTGGGGATAAAAGGCGTGATGTTATGTACAGTATTAAGGTTTATCTCAATATACCTGTAGAATTGAGATCTGCATGTGAGAAATATCTTTTAGAGCTGGTGAAGATACCTATAATACATATATATTGAAGGTAAGGTTGAAATGAATTGTCAGACACAGATATAATTTTTTTGCCGAATAATAATTTTATAACGTTTTGATAAAGTATCCCCCATAGGAATAAAAATGTCAATTTTACGGCCGCGATGCAAGACACAGCTTTATTCCCTAGCCAATATCCAAAAGAATAATAAAACAATTTATTTAAATTACATTTTCTTTACATGAAAATAGAATAACAGATAATCCTTAAGTAAAATTTATTCCAATTTCTTATAAAAAATCTAAGTAGATAATGTAACTTATAAATCATTGTAGATCAGACATGATTCATTACAACTTATAAATTACCTTAATAAAAATGAAATATATAGAAAATCTTTTTTTAAAATATGAATATTGTTTTTGCAAAAGTACTTTTGTTCGGTGAGCAGGCACCTTATGTATTTCATATGCAATGTAACAGGTGGAGTAGCTAATTTCAGAATATCTGAATACTTACATTAAGTAGGAAATAAGAAACGGCCGAAGTTTGTTATAACACAAACGTAATAAATATAGACTCTCCTTTCGTAACAATAGTAATATAATAAGCAAATATGACTATATTCATGTGTATATATACAGCTACATAATTTAAAATTCCATCAATATTTTTTTCTTAAACACTTTTTTGTTAAATATAATATGACTAATGACTATGTTAATATCAAATGCATATTGCTAACAAACAAATATATTTATCAATCCGTGAATGATTAATCTTCAGTAAGTAATTCAGTTGTAACAACAAAACGTTAATTTAGGCCTTTATCGGTCCTCAATTGTATAGTACACTTGCACAATAAAATCATCCCGGAACGATTGTTCGCGGTGGCTTTAATTACAATTCGCACGGTTGCGACCCCTGATGAATCGATTTTCACTTATGGTGGCACTCGGCACCACTGGGACCTTATTGAATCGAGTGGATGCGCAACTTAGGAAAGCTTACCCTGGACTGAATTCAAATACCACTTCAGGCAAGATCACTGCGGTCACACAATTATTGAGTTGCTTTATACTAACTAGTCTCCACAAGAACTTTAAAAGCGTCAACTCGAGTAGCTCTATCAACGTTTGTGTACAATATAAGTACTGAACATGTCCCGAAAATCGAATGACCCAAATCATGGGCAGTAATCGATGAAGTCATCGATGTTCATCATGACTCTGTTAATTAACAGACTTGGAAAACATAGAAAGGGTGGGGTTGGGCCTCAAATGAATACGTTGCGTGGTAAAAGGCACGTTCACACAAAGTGACTCAACCGCGCTTTTGTGCCCGTCTGCATAGCTAATAGCCAAGATTCAAACTCGATTGCCAAGCCACAGAAAAGTTTCATTCCTATGAAATTATGCAAATGATTCTCGTTTGATCCATTCAAATTCAATTGAGTTTTTGGGAACAACATGTTTACAAAATATGTTTTTATTACGCTTGTGAATCTCTGCTCCTACATATTCAGCACTCATAGCATAGAGCACGTTAAAACAATTGCATTATTGACAATGAACTTGATTTTGAAAGGCCAACACAGTATTGATTTGTGTGTCACAATTCAACTGGATGAACACAAAAGCTTATTAATGATGGTATTCACTGAATGTAGATTAAAAACATTTATAAACAAGGAATATCTCGTTTTGAAAATTAAAAATGTTATTTTAGTTCAACTTTTACGTGTATTGAATTTAGTGCGTTGGTATCTGACGAGAAGCGTTCAAATCAGAGTCTGTCTTGGTGGTGGTATTAGCGACAAGACCCGCACTAAACCATGCAGCTGGGACGTCTAGAGGCTATTCGTCTTGACAGCGAAGCATTGTACTGCTTCAGTAATGGAACGACGCCACACTCCTCTAAGCAAGTATCGATGAGCTTCCCGAATGAGATTGGATTGGCATTTGCCTCTTTCAAGGGTCGTCGAATTTCTGAGAATGCTTGTTTAAAAAGATTTGTCAAGCTTTTTTCCTAAGTAAGTAATGTATAATGGTACTCACAGTAAGTTGCACTCGTCAGCCGGTCGATCGTATCTTGTTTTAGTTTTGAGTTCTTCTTGCCCATCTTCGCTGGCGACGAGTCTACTGCACCAATTAACACACACGCACTAGGTAAAGTCGGTGTTCGTCACTTGGCGTGACGTATTACATATTATTCAACCTGCGCCCGATTCACTCCACCTGTGAACAGGAAGCTTATGTTAGAACGACCTTCAAAATAATGTAGTCTCGGGGTCCCTAAGCAGAATAGTCTGGAGGAATTATAGTTTTTATTATACACCGTGACATAATATGGTCACGTAGTGTCACAATTTGTACGAAGCTGCGTCAACAAGGTCCCTTACTCTTCTACCTCTCTCTGTCTAACACAAATACTCCAATATGTCCGTCCCGCTCTGTATAAATTATAGCTGTTTTCCTTCTCCTGAATATTGTAGGGTGAGTAGCGAACGGCGGCGAGACGTAAACGAAATACTTATTTTGGCGTATCTTCGGCAAAAACAAGCCATTTATAAGATGGCGATATATCAAGTGTTCGCATGTTACTGTGTGTTATATCATTATATCTAGTTCTTAAGAAAGGTCTAAACAATAAAGGGTTAGGTGTTTCCGAGGCGACAACATCATGTGCTGGCTAAAACGTTGGCGTTATTATTAAGTGTTTAGAAGTTAAGTACTTCAAGTTTTTAGACATTTAGCTGGTAACATGAAAGTGCTTTTGTGTACTCGGTACAGTAGAGTAGTCGTATGTTGCCGCCATTAACTTGAAATTTTGAAAGCGGCGAGATATAATTAGTGTCGTAAGTTTATGTTTGTGGAGTTCGTAGTATCAACAGTGTTGTACGTATGTGGTGAGTAGCACACTTTGTTATCAGCAGTCCTTGGGAACAGAGATGTAACAACAGCTTACAGTTGTATTATTATAACACTGTATGTAAATGCTAACTCGAAATAGATTCTCGATAAATTGTGTATACAGTTACAAATTCATGGTCAATTGCTACAAAGTTAAGTTGAGAGTAACAAACACAATACTCAACTTTTTATGTAAAATAAAGAAAAGGAAAAAAAAACAATTATTAAGAATCGAGAAATTAATTTCAGCTGCGGAACGTAATAAATGGGTCCCCGGCGTTCGTTCTACTGAAAACATTAGGATAAAATATAGGGTACCTTTCTGTAAGATTTTTATTACCTTTTAGTGAAACTGTTTTGTATTTATCCTCCAGGAAAACAGAGCATTTTGGTACTTCATCACACTCTCTGTCTACCGGTTACCGGATTATACACTATTTATAGTTCACAGTTTCACTGTTCTCAAGTATTCGGTACGATATCTGAAAGGAGGGAGAAGATCTCTCGTTACTATTGTAAGTGGTTTACATTACGAATGCTAAATATTCGCGGAGCATTTTCGCTTTTTCATTAACGCTCGAAGCAAAGTTTTCTTGGCTAACTCTATTACGTTCAAGTTTCCTCTGTAGGTAACAATCCTTCTATTTTAATACTGTTTTCAACAAAGATGATTTATGAGGGAAGAATTTGTAATAATATAAGTTACATTGGGACATAGCATGGGTATAATTCAAAATGGATTTTTATTATTGGAATGGCGACGCCACGTGTGGAGCGGGAAAGCACTTTACTAAATGATCTTTACACGTGAATGTGTGCTTGTAAAAACGCATTTGGAGTGCACTCCTTGTCTTTATATTACAAAAGGACGGAGCCGCGTGTAGAATATTATATCCTCCTCTAAAAGGTCTGTGTTCCGGTGATAGCGTGCCTGTTTAATGCACCGTTGCTGTTCTAACCCTTGAAAAATATGAGTAATTTTTTCAGCTTTAATATAATGGGTTTTATGCGAGCCACAGGTTATGGTAAGTACACGCCGGGAAAGAAAAACTCATAAAGTTTGAAGTAATTTTGTTAGAATTGTCTATTACCGTATGCAAAGGGATTTGTATTGACTCCATAAATTGGTTTTCTAATTAAACTTTATTCCAGAGTTTACTTTAAAGCGAAGTCAGAATTTATAATGTTGCCGTGCACAAGGCATCTCCCCGTGTAAGTTACAGGAACCAGTGCATAGAAACTACTTAATTACTTAATGAAGCCATGGTGAGCGAAGGTTTTCTAACTTGCTCACTAACTTATGTGGAAACCTCTAAGTGAAATATGTTCTCCTTATTAAACGATTTATGTTGTTAAAAAGTTTCAATAAAATGTACCTAAATTGAAATTCTATATTTGGTATTTTATGATTGAGTTTAAAAAGTCAGTCGTCCATGTAACACAATTTAGAAGTTGGACGGTTAGTCGATATCAGTTGCGGAAAAATCTGTGTGGATCGCGACACGTCAGGAACTCAGAGGTCTGAAGTTAAATTGTTTTGAGAGGTCCTCGGCGCGATAGTTGGGAGCTAGCGTTTTGAACTAAAACAATAACAAAATGGTGGAAGCTAGAAAATCTTTTGTCTTTTCTCTCGTGTTTGTCTTTCTTTTGTTACATCCACTGCGCTAACGATTTGAGAGAACAACTTTATGAAATCGTACACTTTATATTTATGTTGTATGAAACCATTCAGACACTGGCAACATCTGTTATTTTGTATGTGTATTGTTCGTCTATAACTGCATACATACTTTTATGCATTGTATCTACAAATAGTATGCAATGTAATATTACGTTTTAATTTATTTTGTGCACTACTATATTGGAACTGTTTATGGAATCTATTACAAATATGAAAAATGTTCATTATTTGACCTGTATTTTTTTTATTAAATAAGTATACTGTTATTCTTTTCCACTTTATTATTTTTATTAATGTCAACTGCTACCTAATTTAAGTGTAAAACGATCGCAAAGCTGTGTCACTGTTTATTATACTACCTATACTAGTCACCATTAATTAATTTAGACCTAGAATATGGTAAATTATAATGAAACCAAAGACTATTGAATTCCTCATCATACAATCGTTGATTTCTATCGCAAACATACTGTTTATCTCATACTACCACGTTAATCAAATAAATAAAAAGACGAAACAATATCCTAACACAATTTTACACAGAAAGGCTATTATTTACGGATCCAAAGTACATTGTGTCATTTTCAATTTATTCTAAACAAAAACTGAACAAGAATGTTCATTAATCATTGTCATTATTATTAATTGACCTGTTTCTGTATTAAAATAGAAGGAATTTAAAACTCCTGAACCTCCTACGATAGGAACTTTTATGATTTTGTACCATGATTATTATGTTGCCGTAAAAATATTTAGAAATTATTCACACTATAGACAACGCAAATGAAACCACTTAGTCAATATTCAAATAAAATAGACTTTAGTTTTACACATCGCACCTTTAAAGAAAAACCATTTATAAACGAAAAAAATTCATAAATGAAGTATTTATATGGATGGACTATTTAAAAATTCTAAAATATTAGATGGCATTAACTGAATTCAGGAATATTTTCGTTTAAAAACGCTTTTACTTTAAAGGTGCGACATAAAAAGTTAATTTCGCATTGACATCCAATTTTAAACTTTTAAACTATGTACGTACCTTTATATTGAATAATACGTACATTGAATAATAAACCAAAACTTTCAAAATTAAGGTACAATTTGCACAATATAATACAGCGTATTTTTTCTTAATCGTAGGAATGGCGAGAGGATACAAAATCGATATAGCGATACTCATTCTGTGATAACCCTACGGTTATGACTACGATCGTAGTAAACAGCTGAGATCCGCTACGCGCTACGATATCCGCACGGAGCTAGCGCTTTCCGCTACGCTAGATCCGATACCGGTTCCCACCAAACTACTTATCTACATACACAGATCAGCATTATCTATAGTGTGAATTAATGCTCAGAGTAAATTCGCATTGCAATTTCGCTTGGCCTATGTTAATGCCGATTTAACACGAATAACAAAATGTATTTCATGATTATTTTCAAGAACAGCCGCAAAATATTGTGTTGTGCTCGTAAACGTTGTTTAACTAATTTTGCTGCAAATACTTAAATGGTTAGTTACTTATTTAATAGTTTAGTTGTAGTTAAGCTTAAATGAATTAAATGTTTTGTTCATTGCTTAATGTACGTTCATTGTTACGAAATAAAGCAACAATAATTTTGCTTCAAAACAGCGCCAATATATAGTTGCAAGCAATTTGGTTAAACAACGTGAGTTTGTGGAGTGAATTAAATCGCAAGCGGTTAGTTGGAGTCAGTCAGGCGTTACTCTAGTATTCGTAGACCTAAACGCAAATATGTGTTTACCCAATGAAGTGTTAACTCACAAATAACATAACATACTGACATAAACACTTATAGCCTATTCGCAACCGGCCGTAGATAAACAACTTGAGAATATCGAATAACAACTTTATGTACTTTAGTTTAGACATAAATAAAACCTTTTTGGGGATATTATGCAGGAGATACAAGTTTGTGTATGAATTTATAGTTTGTATGTAGAGGTTAAATAGAAGACGGCACGGTTTTATATCGTGTGTGTGTGGGCGTGTGTCGGATCACGTACGTCCTGCCTAACTCTACTAAATTACGAGTGTCCGTCGTTAGGATGCCGAGCGGTTCCACACGCCGCGGATTATGGACTACTTGAATTATAGATGACTCATATCGAAAAGTCGTGTAAGTTTAAAGTAAAAGCGCAATCTGTGCGCTTTGTATAGTCCTATGTAAGTAGCTGCGACCACTTCTGCGGCTTTTTAAAACGGGGTGGACGAAAAATATAAAATTGATTTTTTCCATGGGGTGAAATCTCGGATAAAGCCGGATTCGAATGGTGCACGGCGTGCCAATAATCTTGCCCTATCTAACATGGGGCCAGAGAAACCTAATATAGACGATTTTCGACGTTCGCTTGTGTACATCGGACTAAACTTAGAGAGACGTGACCATTAACTATGTAGGGTACTCCAAAGTTATTTGTTACTGCAGAATGTCTTTGTGTCCTGAATAGAAATTTGTGTCGTAATTGAAACTCGGTTTCGAGGGCACATCTAATAAGAACAATGCTACAACTGCATATTATTTTATATTAGTTCACAAACAACACGGTAAAGGACTATATGGTAGGATAGTTAGTACTCGTAGATGATACGATTACATTCTGAAGCTTTATCTGGAGCTTCCTGACGGTGTGTAGTTATAAAATTAACTATTCTAAAATTAAGACCAAAACCTAAAAGCAAATAGATCCCTTCTATCACCCACAGAAAGTTCAAAATTAGTAAATTGGTATCAATTTTACGGTACAACAATCACAGCTCATAATATTTTAATGAGAATTCGTGAAAACAAAAGTCGTTTGCGTATTTTTCTTTGAAAAACATTCAAGTCTAAAGACCGAGGGTTTACGGTTCGTGAACACAGTGCCTACTGTCGAACAAATCTAGCAAGCTGAATCGGCAAAGGGACTAATGACCATGACTGTCAAAGGACCGATGACTGTGGGAGCAAACGTTCGGTGAGTAGTGACCGGAGACCACAAATCGATAAAAAGTGGAGGATCCGAGCTGAACGAGGACAACCGACCGCTTCGCCGGATGCTTTTAAACCGTACGTACTAGTTAGCAACAGACCACTACCTTTTGTGATCCCTTACTAATTAAACGTCTTTGTTGCTCAGCTTTCTACTTACCAATATTAAACTTTAAAATGGTTTATTTTTTAATCGAATTTGAATTTAATTAATCCTTTACAATATTGCTTACACTTTCTTCCAAATTCAAACCCAAGTCAATAGATGGGAGCCACATAATTTACATAGAGCTGTTTTTATTTTCCCTGCCAAGCAAAAATAGAATACCACAATATTGCAATGTTCCGACATTCATTTACTTGATACTTGTAAAATTTGAAAATACGAGAATATTTCCATATCCATTAGCAGAGTTGTTTTAAAATGCAACTTTAAAGGCTTTAAAATCTTTTTGAGACTGAGTTTTAGCTGCGGCCTGTCATAATATAAATCAGTTTAATTGAAGGAGCTGGTGGTAAAAATGTTAAATTAAATATTGACAAGACGGTAAATATTTAAAAACATTTTTAACTTTGAATTGCAGCAGAGGTTAATGCAGTTAGGGTCGGTGCAACAGTATTTTACAAAGTTATTATCGCAGCAAAAACATGTACAGTCAATTTTATAAAGAAATTCGACCATTGGGATTGTGATGAACTCAAGAAAATGTGGATGACACCAGTTCAGTCACTTTTCATAGTAGTCTAAATAATGTAGCATTCTTTCTATTCTCGGGACTCTTTCAGTTTAGATATTCTGTT